CTCTCCCCTGTCCCCCTGCGCTGGTGGATAGCGTGCACGGCCCGGTCTACAATCCGGCGCACCGTGTTTGGACAGGGCAGGACCAGGCGAACCTCTCCTCCATCCAGGGGTCGCTCACTCCGGCGGTTGCCGGACTTGTTGTCTTCGCCAAGACTTCTCATGAGGCATGGACCATCCTCGAGCGCTCGTTTGCAGCGCAGTCGCAGGCCCGTGTCTCCGCGCTTCGTCGCCAGCTTGGTGAGTGTCAAAAGCTGGATTCTACGGCCACCGAGTTCTACAACAAGGTCAAGGGCCTTGCCGACACGTTGGCCTCCATCGGCCAGCCCCTCACTGATTCCGAGTTTAACTCGTTCATTGTCAATGCTCTCGATGAGGAGTACGACGCCTTGGTCGAGATCATGAACGAGCGGGGCAACTCGAACCCCATGATGGCGCATGAGGTCTTTTCCCGCCTCCTTCTCACGGAACAGCGGGTCGAGTCGCGCCGCTCCAGGGCCAGTGGGGGCTCCCTCTCGGCCAACGCCGCCACCAAGGGTGGCCGCCCTTCTTCCTCATCCAGGGCCTCTTCGGGGCTGCCATCGCCGCCTGCATCGGCCCCCCCTCCTACCGCGACATTACCGGGGGTTGGTGGCAAGCGCGTATGTCAGCTGTGTGGCATTGAGGGGCACTGGTCCTCTAAGTGCCACAAGCGCTTTCAGAAGAGCTTTCTGGGTCTTGGCAATGATGGCAAGGACACGCGCAATTTTGCGCGTCAGGTGGCCATGGCGGATCGCCCAGTGTCCACTAAGCAGCAGGGGCATACTCAGTCCTACTCTGTTGATCCTCACTGGTACATGGACTCTGGGGCCACGGAGCATCTGACGAGTGAGATGGGCAAGCTCCATACTCGTGAACCCTACCACGGCTCCGACAAAATCCACACTGCCAATGGAGCAGGTATGCATATATCTCATATTGGTCAAGCATCTCTTCTCACTAGGCATGCAAATAGGAGTCTTCAACTTCGCAATGTGCTTAGAGTTCCCTCTGTGACACGTAATCTTCTTTCTGTTCCTAAACTTACACGTGATAATAATGTGCTTTGTGAATTTCATCCTTTTGATCTTTTTATTAAGGATCGGGGCACGAGGGACATTCTTCTTAGCGGGCGGTTGTGCCAGGGACTCTATCGTCTGGAGCATCCTGCAGTCGCTCGCGTGTTCAGTGGAGTTCGGGTATCTCCGTCACAGTGGCATGCTCGTCTTGGTCACCCGGCCACACCTATCGTTCGTCATGTTTTGCGTCGTCATGAGCTTCCTAGTGTGTCCAGTAATAGAGATGTAGCAGTGTGTGATGCTTGTCAGCAGGGGAAGAGTCATCAACTTCCTTTTTCAGAGTCTAGTCATGAGGTGAAACATCCTTTAGAACTTGTATTTTCAGATGTATGGGGTCCTGCTCAGACTTCTGTCAGCGGTCATAATTATTATATCAGTTTCGTTGATGCTTATAGTCGTTTTACCTGGCTTTATCTTATTAAACGCAAATCTGATGTGTTTGATATTGTTGTTCAGTTTCAAAAACATGTTGAACGTCTTCTCAAGCACAAAATTGTTCATGTTCAATCCGATTGGGGGGGCGAATATCGCAACCTCGACTCCTTCTTTCAGTCGCTTGGGATAGCTCATCGTTTAGCATGTCCACATACACATCAACAGAATGGTTCTGTCGAACGTAAGCATCGTCACATTGTTGAAACTGGTCTTACTCTTTTGGCCCATGCATCAGTTCCGTTTCGATTCTGGAGTGATGCTCTCACCACTGCATGTTTTCTCATAAACCGTACTCCCACTCGTGTCTTGAATATGAAGACTCCCGTTGAGGTTCTCCTTAATGAATAACCTGATTATACATTTTTTAAGGTCTTTGGGTGCGCTTGCTGGCCACATCTCCGCCCATACAACAAGCGCAAGCTTGAGTTTCGCTCCAAAAAGTGTGTTTTTCTAGGCTATAGCTCTCTTCATAAAGGGTACAAATGTCTTCATGTTCCCACCAATCGTGTCTACATATCCCGGGATGTCGTGTTTGATGAGCATGTTTTTCCATTTGCCAAGCTTCCTGTGTCCACTGTTGAACCACCCTCCTTGCATTCATCCTCTGTTGCTGCTGACCAATTGGATGATATTGCATACTCTCCTATATTGTTGCCTAACCATGGTGCAGGCACTGGACGTGGGGCGCTTGGAAATTCTGGAGGCGCCAGTGGCTCACGACGATCATGGTGAGTTGCATGGCCTCGGCCCCCATGCCCATGCACGTCCGGTCGATCTTCCCGCGACGCATGCTTCTACGCCCATGGACTCTGGGTCGGCCTCGCCGCTTCGGCCTGTCGCGACTACCGCACCAGAGGAGTCTGGGTCGGTCTCGCCTAGGCTGGTTTCCTCGCCATGCAGACCGGTGGCCCCGTCGGCCTCGACACACCCGGCTCCTGAGCCGGCCTCGGTGCCATGCAGCCCGGTGGCCCCGTCGGCCTCGGCGCCCCTGGCCTCGCTGCGTTGCTCGCCGCCCTCGGTGCCTCTGGCTTCTGAGCCAGCCTCGCCACCTTGCTCGGTCACGCCGGCCTTGTCGCTTCCTCGGCCTTCCTCGCTGGTTACGCCTGGGCCAAGCTCACCGGTCTCCGATGTGCCCTCACCGGCGCTCTCTGAGGTCTCTCCGTCGTCAGCCGAGCTGTCCTCGCCATCGTCGCCATCATCACCAGAGTCCTCTCCGGCTCCTGTACCTACTGTGCTCCCTCAGCGACCACATACACGGAGTCGCAGTGGCATCGTTCAGCCTAAACAGCGACATGATGGGACTGTTGCTTGGTTGGCTGCCTGTATGGCTGCTACTCGTGCGGATCCTTCCTCTGAACCGCGCACGTATCAGGCTGCTTTGAGTCTACCTCATTGGCGAGAGGCTATGGAGCAGGAGTATCATGCTCTCCTTCGTAACAAGACATGGACTCTTGTTCCGCCACCACCCCGTGTTAATGTCATTGACTCCAAATGGGTTTTCAAAGTGAAGAAGCATTCAGATGGTTCTATTGAGCGCTACAAGGCGCGGCTGGTTGCTCGAGGTTTTCGGCAGCATTATGGTCTTGATTATGAAGACACCTTCAGCCAGTGGTTAAACCTACTACTATCAGGCTTCTTCTCTCTCTTGCAGTTACTCGGGGTTGGTCTCTTCGTCAGCTGGATGTGCAGAATGCTTTTCTCCATGGTGTTCTTGAAGAGGAGGTATATATGCGGCAGCCTCCAGGGTTCTCTGATCCCGATCGTCCTGATTATCTATGTCGGCTTACTAAAGCACTCTATGGTCTGAAGCAAGCTCCTCGTGCTTGGCATGCTCGTCTTGCGACGGCCCTTCGTGCTCATGGTTTTGCATCCTCAGCTGCTGACTCCTCGTTGTTTCTTCTTCAGAGGCCTGCAGTTACCATGTATCTGCTTGTTTATGTGGATGATATTATCCTTGTCAGTTCCTCTCAGTCGGCTGCTGATGCTCTTGTTTGGTCTCTTGGTGCTGATTTTGCGGTCAAAGATCTTGGGCGGCTTCACTACTTTCTTGGAGTTGAGGTTGCTTCTGTGTCCAGTGGTCTGATTATGACGCAAAAGAAGTACTCCTTGGATTTGTTACAGCGAGCTGCGATGCTTAAGTGCAAACCGACTACTACACCTATGTCTGCTACTGACAGGATTACTGCTGTTGCTGGTGATCTCCTGTCTTCTGCTGATGCGACATAGTACATGAGTATTGTTGGTGGTTTGCAGTACCTGACTATCACACGTCTTGACATCTCTTTTGCAGTTAACAGAGTATGTCAGTATCTTCAGGCACCTCGTGATACTCATTGGTCTGCAGTGAAGCGCATCTTGCGCTACATTCGTTTCACGTTGTCCTATGGTTTGCACATTCGACCGAATCCCTCTGGGGTCATCTCGGCGTATTCTGATGCGGATTGGGCTGGCAGTCCAGATGACAGGCGATCCACGGGGGGCTATGCTGTGTTCTTTGGTTCTACCTTGATCGCCTGGAGTGCTCGGAAACAGGCTACTGTTTCACGTAGCAGTACTGAAGCTGAGTATAAGGCTGTGGCTAATGCAACTGCAGAAATTATCTGGATACAGTCTTTGCTTCAGGAGTTGGGAATATCTCAGTCACAGTCTCCTATTCTTTGGTGTGATAACATCGGTGCTACATACCTATCTGCTAATCCGGTATTCCATGCCCGAACGAAACACATTGAAGTGGACTATCATTTTGTACGGGAACGGGTATCTCAGAAGCAACTACAGATCAAGTTTATCTCTTCCAAGGATCAACTTGCGGACATCTTCACCAAGCCATTACCTCTTCCACAGTTTGAGACTTGTAGGCGCAATCTTACCCTTCTAGATTCTTTAGGAAGTGGCTAAGATTGAGGGAGGGTGTTAGACTGTATAGTCTCTGTAGTTGTATACGTACATATACGTATGATGTAACTTGTACCCGTTTGTTATATATATGTGAGATAGGCCACCCTAGAGGGTTGAGCCGGTTCCCCCAACTCTATTGTCTTACACAAACCCACCCAAATTCTAGCCCATCATCAATATTCATTTCAAAAGTGTTTAAGAAACGTTTACTATGCTTATGACCAGTGAAGTGAACACCCTCTAAAATGCAGTAGAAACACGGTGAAGCAGTAAACACACGGCGTAAAACGTGTAAACTCGCACTTGTTAACGAAAATATACAACAAAGTTCAGAGCCACCATTCCACCCCATTTTGAATGGCCGGAGGCATTCAGATCACACCCTATCTCTCTCCTTTTTTTCAATATTTTGAGCAGACATTTAGACCATAGTAGCTCTTCCTCTTTTTTACACATTACATTACATGATTATACATACCTAAAAGGATTACAATGTAGTGCACCATTTGGGCCTCTGGGATAACTCTGTGTATGTTTTCCAGAGAGTACCGATGCTCTGAGCAGGCTTCAGTTTCAGGTTGTGCCGAATTCTGGCTCATCCCGTTCATCTAGGAAGAACGACTTGATGAAACTGTTGACCTTGTCGGCCCCCTCCAACTGCAACGCGTGCCCTGCGTCCTTGATGATCTCTAGCCTGGATTTCTTGCCTAGATGCCTGCACTCGCCAACAGAAAACACATACCGATTCTTATACATCTTGTTGAAATGAAAAGCAATGTCGTCAGTATATAGAATTCATGGAACACTGTCCTGTTCTTTTTACCTGTGCAGTTTGTAGCCAAGATCGACGGGGAACACCTGGTCCTTGTCTCCCCACAGAACCAGCGTTTTCTGCAGAGCACAAATCGAACCACACATGTTATTTCTCAGAAAAAAAACATCCAAAGGAAAGTGATGATGGATCAATGTTGCTTGGAATGTGCGGCTGGCTGACCTGAGTGAGAGCCGGGAGGGGGTCGATGCCGGCTCCGCTCCTGAGTAGTTCTTGCAGCAGCTCTGTTCTCTCCTTTCTCTGGTCCACGAACATCAGCTGCAGCAAACACAGGGCATACACTTCAGAAATGGTGTAAAGTTCACCAAATTAATATACATGATGATGTGTTCTTTTTTTATGGCGGGGACATGATGCTCTGTTATTAGTTACCTCTTTCTACATTTCCATGCAAAGTTGGAGTCTGTACTGAAATTTACGAGCATGCTTTAAGAGAACTGAACTAAGAACATTTCTGAAGTCTGCTCACCGACTTGTTTACGAGCACGTATCTTATGCATGGGCAACCAAATAGGCAAAAAATCTGATGTCGCAGGGTAATTAAGAGGAGAGGGAGGAGTTTGATGACCCTAGAAAGAAACGATGCTAGGGACATGTATCTAGGCAAAAACAAAATTTACAGTCTACGGCTAGCTAATTAAATGAAGGAAGCCCCATGCAAAATTATTGGCATATGACTTGATCGGACAGTGGCCAATGGAAAATGATGCTAGCATCCCAAGCTAGCGCCAGAAGACTGAATTTGAGCGCTTGGGCCAGGCAAACATCCATGCCTAGTGCTTCAGCCAGGCTAATGACCATAAAATGCTCCACGCCAGGCTTATTCAGGGCATCAACCAAACAACCTCCAGGCTAGGGAAGGTCCAGGCCATACAAATCTTTGCCAGGCTTCCAACCAAACAATCCCTCTTATCTTTGAGGCTTAATTGGTTAGTTAAATGTACGACGTCTATATCAAAATCATGATTCCTTAAAAATGTCAATCAATTTTTAAAAATCATGATTCAAAAAGATTAATTCCCAAAAATGTCCTTGGCTTTGAAAAAATGTTCAGGAATCTTTAAAAAATCAAGAAATAAAAAATATTCATGAAGCTCAAAAGGTGTTCGTGGATTTAAAATTGTTCATGAATTTTTAAAAATTAATGAGTAATAAAATGTTCAGCATATATTCGAAAATTGTTCCATATGTGTTAAAAAAGTTCAACGTATAATTAAAAAAATTAACGTCCATTTAAAAAATCATGAATAAACTATTATACTTAGAAAAAATGATTGTAAAAAGCTAAACAGGCTTCCGAAAACCTCTTTTTTTAGTGGTAAACCTTGTTTATTAATCAAGTACAAGGTTTACACACAATTGGGTCATGGGGTACTTCACTAACGCCAGTACCAACTTGGCTACTCCCTCCGTCTCGGTTTATAGGGCGTGCACGTAGTTCTAGGTCATCCATTTGACTAACTAAATAGTATGAGTTATATGTCAAGTATAAACTTCTTTTTAGCAACGTAGTTCTTGGCAAGTATAAAAGTTGCTAAAAAGAGCCACACAACGTAGTTCTTGGTCAAGTATAAACTTATTAATCAAGTATAAACTTCTTTTTAGCAACTTTTGATATTGCCAAGTATTGGCAGTGCCAAATGTTGGTATCAAACCAATTAGCCTCCTAATCCCCAAGTACAACAGGATCAATGTGGCATTTTCCTTTTTTTTGGGAGAATCGTAATCAAGTCGGGGATACATTATTGGCGGCACTGTCAGCCACGCCCGGCGACCGACCCACATCGTTGGGGCATTTTCCTAGCGCAGATTTGATCTGCGGCGGTGGACGGTAGCGGTGTCCGCTAGCGTTTTGGATTTGGACGGATCGATCAGCCACACAACGGTGCCACTGGCGACGTACGGCACGTGGCCCACGTACGCACGCACGGACCCAGCCGGGTGAGACCCAACAAGGAAACCGACGAGGTCGACACGTCCGTCCAGATCTACCACTGTAGTATACTGAGTACTTCCCCTGGCTTCCGGAGTGCTCCCAGCGAACTGATTGAGTGATCGACTAGTTACTGTTGTTTACAATCCGCAGGCTTAACTTGAGCTCCGTCTACGTCTTGGCAGTTGGCACACGTGACCGGCTTAAGTGCAGCAACAGAGGTGGTACCTGCTGCTTGGTCTAGCACTTGCGTGTACGGCTGAAACGTGCACGCGCGCGCTCGCTCCATACGCTAATGCATGCTTGCAAGCTGCAAATGATGTTGCCTGCTGCGTGCGCCATGCATGGATCGGCCGGACCCCAAGCGCTGCGCTGGCGTGGCGATCCTAGCTAGGCAAAACCAAGCGCGCGCGCGACACGCAACCAAACCACGTGATGACTTATAATACTCCAGTTAGCTACTGGCATCGTCAGAGACAAGTTAACCGTCGTGGTAAGTTTGTGACACGTCTGACGTCGATCGCCTCTCAAAAGAGAATAATGGTTTGTGACACGTCGAGGAAAAGACAATATAGACACACCGTAACTTTTATCAAAGTTACAAAAAAGGTTGGGCAAACACATACTGTAGTATGTACTGACCTGGATGAAATCGTGGAGCACGAAGTCCGGCAGCCAGGGCGGGGGGCGGTGCATGGACCGGTGCACGAGCCGGCGCAGCCCGGCCGCGCTGTCCGGCAGCAGCGCGTCCTCCACGGCCATCTCCTCCCGCGCCGCCAGCTCGCCCATCTCCTGCACCGTGGCCGCGACGCCGCTGGTCATGATGACGACCCTGGCCACGCTGTCCCGGGCCTCCACGGCCGCCAGCCGGTACGCCACGAAGCCCCCGTAGCTGATCCCGGCCACGTCGTACCGGCCCACGCCGAGGAGCCGCATGGCGTCCGCGGCGCAGCGGGCCTGGAAGGCCACGGAGCGGAGCGGCGAGGCGGAGCGGGAGTGGGAGCCGAAGAAGACCAGGTCGGGCACGTAGAGGTGGAAGCTGCGGGAGAGCGCGGCGAGGTTGCGCGCCCACGTCCACTTGGCGTCGCCGCCGAAGCCGTGGAGGAGGAGCAGCGGCGGCTTGGCGGACGGCGAGGCGGGGCACCAGACGCGGAGCGTGGTGGCGTGCGGGCCGGGCAGGCGGAGGGTGACCGGGCGGATGCGGAGGCGCGCGAGGAGGTGGAGCGTGAGCGCGGCGTCGCGGAAGGCGGCGAGGCGGAGGCGGAGGAGCAGCCGGAGGAGGAGCAGCGAGAGGGAGAGGAGCGCGAAGAGGGACGAGGTGGCCGCCGGGTGCTGCTTCGCGGCGGCGAGCGCGGCGGCGCCGGCCGCCGCCGCCGGTCCGGCGCGAGCTTGCATGACGACGACGCGGGAGCGGGCTGGCTGGGTGGGCAGGCTGTAGCGCACAGCTTCTTTCTCGGCGCGGCCCCGATGGATCCGGAGGAGTCGCGACGTGTCTCGCGTGAAGTTCTGCGTACTGTTTTTATATATGCGGCTCTTGCTCTTTCTGGTTGTATACTAGTGCTACTGCTCGTGCTGAGCTCGAGTCGGATACGGGTTCAAAATCAAGCAGTGCGGCGTGACCCGTGGTATAGCAAGAAACTCAAAGCTGCCTAGAGCTTAGCTCTAAGGGCGTGTTTGCTTACATTGCAAATCCAGTCTTGGCCCGGCGAGGCTGGCTCTATCAAGCCGGTTTGAGGAGATGCAGGCCAAAAAATTCCAGATGCACATAGTTTGGTTGCCTGCATGTCCCTAGTTGCATGAGACAACCGTTTTCAATCCGGCGTTTGGTTGCCCGCATTGCATTAGGCACACATATGACATGGCATTTGGTTGCAACCTGCATAAGGTGTTGTCACCACTTTTTAACTAGTGGTGAGTTTATCGCACAAAATCTGAACATGTAGGGCCAGATACTTAAACAAATGACAGTTCATCCTAACTACTATCAAATGACAGTTCAAATTATTACGAGCCATTGGCTAAATAGGGGATAGTTCATCGGTGTTGCTGCTACCAGTTCTTCCTCTTCCTCTTCTTCTGCTTCTGCTTCTGCTGGTGCTTCTGCTATTGTTGCTTCTTCTTCTTCTTCTTCTTCTTCTTCTTCTTCTTCTTCTTCTTCTTCTTCTTCTTCTTCTTCTTCTTCTTCTTCTTCTTCTATCTTCTTCAAATCCTGCACTGACCTCTGTTAAGCCACATCGCCTCTGCCCACTTCAACCTTTTGTTCTTCCAAGCGTCATTGTCAAATGCCTTCAGACCATGGTCGGAGCTAACAACGCAGTCAGGCTTGACCTCTTTCTCCTCAGGCACGTGTTCACCAAAGCCCCACTAGAGGATCCAGTTATGCAGAATGCAACAAGCAAGAACTAGCTTAACCTGAGTGGAGTATGGGTGGAATGACTTCTGATCCAGGATCTTAAACCCATTCTTCAGAGCTCCAAATGCCCTCTCAACAGTTACTTTAAGGCTGGAGTGTCTGAGATTAAACAGCTCATGTGCAGTCCTAGGATAGTTCCTACTAGAGAACTCGTTGAGATGCTACCTGGTTTTCCTGAAGGGTGGAAGAATACCCGGTCGACATGCATAGCCAGCATCTCCAAGGTAGAACTTGTCGTCGGGGATGTTGATCCCATCAGGCCGATTCATGCTATCAGTGAGAATGTTAGCATCATGCGCTGACCCCTCCCAGCCAGCCAGCACATATGTGAACTTCAGATCAAAGTCAACATCAACAAGCATATTCTGGCTTGTGTAATGCTTCCTCCCCCTGTATGCTGCAGACTGTGACCTAGGAACTCTGGCAGTGACATGAGTATCATCTATTGCCCCAATGCAATCCTGAAAATGGCATCACAAGCCTGTGTTAGTGCTCAACTTGAACAATACAATCATATCAAGCCATGAATAGTGTATATTGTCAATGTTCACCTTGAAGTATGGATACCATCTTGGGCTTCCGCGAATCTTGGGTGGAGTCTGACCAGATGGTCTCCTGATCCTCTAAGCTACCCAATAGCAAAAAACACTTACTTGAAGTACCTAGAGATGGTCTCCATTGATCTCCTGAACGTGTTGTGAATGACCCTGAACCTCTGGTTATGACCAACATCACGGAGGAACATGGCCACTTGCTCTTCGACACTGGTGTTGATGCTACCTTGTAGCAGCCCCCTACTCCTGAAGGTCTCGACAAGCCTGGCAAATGGTGCTCTTTTCATTTGAAGCATCCACAGAGCCTCAACGTCATTGCAGTTGTAGATGTAGTTTAGATTTTGGATCCTCTCATGTTCCCGGTGAAACAATGGACCATAGCGGATCAAAGGTCTCCCAGCACAACGAACAACTCTCTAGTGCATGAACATGACCCATGCCTGAATCACACTAATCAGTGCTGCTGCCTGGATTATCAGCCTCATTCATGCTTCCATAACCTAGTCGACATTGACGGTTTGTTCAGTGGGAAATCGATCCTACACCTAGCCTAATGTCCTAACCGCTGAGCTAACAAAGGGGGAGGGGGTGCTTCTTACCAGCATCAGAGATGAGGACGGCGTAGGGGGAGCCATGGCACAGACTAGGTCGACCAGACGATGGCCAACAACAAGGGGAGCACCAGATCCACCACAAACGCAGCCGCCTCTTCCGCCGCCGCCTCTAGCGCGGATCTGAAATCGCAGCCGCCGTGGTGAGGCAGTAGGAAAGAAAGGGGGGCAGTGGCTATGGGTGAGCGAGTGAAAGGGGTGAGGCTAGATTTGGCGCCGGGACGGCGCGCCAGATTTCCATCTCCCACCATCCCCCCTCGCCCTCGCCTCGCACCCGCCCCGTGCGACCTCGCACCGCACTCAGCCTGGCCCACGAGAAACTGCCGATCCGAGCGTTTTCAGCGAGCCAGGCTCTGGGCTGCTTTAAGAAGCGTGCGATGCAGGCCCAACAGTGAAACCAGGCAACCAAACATGCCTCTCCCTTCCCGTGTGGGCCTGGTTGGGCTCGATGCGGGCAACCAAACACGCCCTAAAGGAACGGTTGAATTGACCCTTTTCAGCGAGGCAGGCCTGAGCGAGCGCAAGGATGACACACGGATGCAAGCGTATGTACGCGCAGGGATGAGCGGGAGACGTCGCGTTGCACCTTGAAGTCG